TGGCAGCGCAATGGCTTGGTGGTTAGCACTGTTGCCTCACAGCAAGAAGGTCCTGGGTTCAATTCCTGGTTGGACCTGGGGTCTTTCTGTGTGGAGTTTACATGTTCTTCTCGCGCTTGCGTGGGTTTTCTCCGAATCCTTTGGTTTCCTCCCACAGAACAAAAACGTGCATGTTAGGCTGCCTTCAGGCCCAGGCCTCCATTGCAAAAGAGATCTGTGATCTTAATGGGATTTGTCTGGTTAAATAAAGGTAAATAAATAAATAAATAAATAAATAAATAAATATAATCTAAGAATGTTTTTATCTGCAGTAGTGCAGATTATTATTCATGCATTCTTCTTAAATGTTCTGTTATTTGCTGAGCCTTACATTGAGAGGAAGTGGTGGTTGTTGCTTGAAATTTAATTATCAAATATTTTCTAATCTTATAGACTGTGCTCAATTGTTCTGGGCAGGACAAACTTTCTGTAAACATTTGCTGCCGTGAAGGTGGAACATTTTCAGTACGTTACCAACAGCTCCCTGCAAGCGTGTTTCATCTGCGGAGGATGATCCGAAACTTCAATCTGTAAAATTAGTAATAATAATAATAACAAACAAACAAACAAAAAGTGTGTAATACTATAAAAATGTCTGAGTAAAATGAGTGGTACAATGTTCTTATAAGAGTCACATTATAAAGGATTTATTAAGATTTTAATTAATTTGATTTATCAATTATAAAACAGTCATAAAACACTGTTCACAAATTAAAGTAGGCTCACTATTTGGAAAATATCATGAGATGCACTTTATTTAAAATCTTTAGATTTGTTTACATTTTAATATTTAGAATTTAAATATCAAATGTCAGTAAGTTCTCTAGATGTGAACGCTCAGAGCTTTTGTAGATACAAAGTTAAAGTAAAAGTTATTTAGGAAAAAACAAGTTGAGAAAATATAAATCACATTTACCTGAATGAATCAATCATACCCTAAGCAATAAAAGATGCAAATATGAATATATTTAGATATACATTTAAATATCATAATTTCCAAAAATTGATTATGTGCAATAAACATACATATTGTTATAATGTGCCTCATAATCAATAACATGTCAAAGGACTGGTTAAAAAAAACACACAATTACTCATTTAAAGAAGCACAGTCAATATCATCAACATCAAAAATATTAATCACATCTTTCAAGGTTAAACTGAAGGACAACCGTTTCTGTATCGTCCAACAAAATGTAACACAAGTGTTTAAATGAATAAAAGACATCAGTACATTTTTTGTTTTGAGAATTTTATTAATGCTATTACAAGAAAGACGAATGATTAATGGATGATATGATCCTTGTCAAAAATTTCAGACAGATCCTCAACCCCCCCCCCCCCCCCCCCCCCCCACACACACACTCAATGTTACACTTACAGACAGTACATGCATAAGTGTGTGGTAAAATATTTTAGAATATTATTTTTAACGGTAACATATATATTTTATTTTTCCCACAAAAATAATGAACACAGTGTTCATCCCACCCAACACAAACAAAACAGAAGAATTCTCAGTTACAGTAAAAAAAATAAAAATAAAATAAAACTATGCTGTGTCCTCTCTTCTGTTGCAATCTGGCCACACATTATGATTATAATGCTGAAATATGAATACATTAATGTAACTACTGACTACTAAAAATGGTACTCTGACCAGGAGAAATGCTATTATTCTTATTTGTTCCCCGGGCGCTTACATAGCTGCCCACTGCTCCACATGGGTGAATCGGGTTAAATACAGAAAATCAACATTTTTTAATTTATTCATTTATTTGTTCATTTAAAAGAAGCAAAACAAATGCATCAAAAAGAAAAACATTGAATAATTTCATCATTGTATGGAAACATACCAGGATGACAATACATTGCACATGACACTATCATTTGTTCAAATAAGCTTTTATTCATCAGTTTCACTGTGTATTCAACTGACACAAACATAACTGCATTATAATATTATCCAGGAGGCAAATACAGGACAGATGATTTGTTTCTTTTATTTTCCATGATGCCACTTTGGGCGGTGAGCCACATCGCCCAACTCAAATTCTGATCTTTCCTGTATGAGAAGAAAATCTTTTGTGATTTTTTTAATGCACATACAAAATAATCTAACAGTTTTTGACAAAATATGTCCATCCATCCATCCATTATCTTTACCCGTTTATTCCATTTTGGGTCACGGGGGTCCCTGGTGCCCATGTCCAGCTATCACTGTGCGAGGGGCGGGGTACACCCTGGACGGGTCGCAAGTCCATCACAGGGCCACACAGAGACAAACGAGACAAACAACCATTCACTCTCTCACTCACACCTAGGGACAATTTAGAGTTACCAATCAGCCTAACATGCATGTTTTTGGTCTGTGGGAGGAAACCGGAGTACCCGGAGAAAACCCACGCATGCACGGAGAGAACATGCAAACTCCACCCAGAAAGGCCCCTGGACCGGGGTTTGAACCAAGGACCTGCTCGCTGAGAGGCAGCAGCTCTACCAGTTGCACCACCGTTCTGCCCCAGCTACTTCATATATTAATTAAAATAACTCTATATAATTTACTAAAACAGCTACAAACCAATATACCTGTATAATCACTATTAATTTTCACTGATTATTTGATTACTACAATGTCCATCCATCCATCCATCCATCCATCCATCCATCCATCCATCGTTGGATCACATGGGCAGCGGTTTGAGCAGGGAGGCTCAGACATCTCTTTCAACAGCCACCTCTTCCAGCTCATATGGGAGGATTCCAAGGTGTACCCAGGCCAGCCGAGAGATTTAGTCTCTCCAGCGTGTCTGTAGTCTTTCCTGGGGTCTCCTCACAGTTGGACATGTCTGGAAAACCTTATAGACGTGTTTCTGTGGCGTCCGTAACAGATGCTCACACCACCTCAACAGGCTCCTCTCCATGTGGAGGAGCAGCAGGTCTACTCTAGTTCACACTCTTTCTCTAAGAGAGAGTTCAAATACCCAACAGAGAAAACTCTATTCAACAGCTTGTATCCACATTCTCACTACCCAGAGTGTGTGACCATAGCTAAGGGTAGTATAGGAAGACTGATCGGAAACAGAGAGCTTCATCTTGCAACTCAGCTCCCTCTTCACCACAACAGACCGCCACAGAGTCCGCAATAATGCAGAAGCAGCTCCGATGTGTCTGTTGATCTCGCTCTCCATTCTTCCTTCACTCATTAACAAAACCCTGAGCTACCTGAACTCCTCCCCTTGAGGCATCACCTCACTCCCAACAGAGGGCAACCCTGTTCTGACTGAGGACCACAGCCTCAGATTTGAAGGTGCTGATCCTCACCTCAGCCACTTCACACTACCCTGTGAACCGCTCTGCTTTTATATTATGCTAAAAATTTTATTTGGAAACATTCAGCCGACTACAACCAGTTGAGTGTGTCACAAGGTTTAAATGTGATTTTTTTTCCCCCCAATGCTAATGAAGTGGTCATAGTGTGATAAAATAACTCTGATCACAGCTTATAGAAAACAAAAAAAACTGCATCATGATTTGATCAGTTCTGGACCTTACAAGCACACAGGCGGAGATACAAAGTACATACTTTATGTATTCATTGGCATTGTGAAATAAAACTGTGACGATGGGGTTGATTATATAGACTATGGCAATTTTGTCTATAGCTGACGCTTAGATGTTCATGCTGTAAATAAAAAGAAAATGCCATAATTTCTGGACTATAAGCCGCTACTTTTTCACACGCTTTGAACATTGCGACTTATACAATGCTGCGGCTAATTTATGGATGTATTATTATTTTTTGATGGGCTAACCATCTTCATGCCACCAGAACATTTAGCTTCGTCACACCCAGGCGCTCAATGACTTCCTGATAGACTGCTGTAATTTTTTTTTTATCAGCCGGTTTACATGCACTGTTCAGAAAAAAACATTTACTGTATTTGTGTGTGTTACCGGTACGTATTTAAATAAAAGTTAAAAAAAAATTTCTGTGTAAATATCTCATGTTACAACATGAGCACCTGCGGCTTATAGACAAGTGCGGCCTATTTATGTAAAATTTAAATTTTCGTTTTAAATTTAGCTGGCATGGCTTTTATTCAGGTGTGCTCAATAGTCCATAAATTACAGTAATAGCCCTAAACAGTCAAACACACACATGGAGACTCACCCCTTTCATCACACTAAGCAGAAAAGGAGTGGTCATATGCCTTGATCATAGTTCATATTGTGGTTTATGAAATGCTATCTCACTTGAACTTGGACTACATTTCCCTGAACACAAGAGCAAAGGTAAGACCACAACGTGTCAAGCTCTGCCGTTTTACAGCTGCTTTACTCCACTACAACTAAATATTCTCTACCCTGAGGAAAATAGCATTTGTTAACAACAAAGCATGATTTAAAATATGATTCTGAACAATAACTAGGACAAGGAAGATTGAACTTTCATGTACAGCACAGTCTGTGTATACTAGGGCATTTATTATGCAAATATATATATATGTGTGTATTCCTTTCCAGTCTGCATGAAACAAAGTGTTAATACTATAATGTTGTGAACTTCTTACAGACATAATTATTGGTTAGTTGAGCGTATCTTCGTGCTGTACATTATGCCTCTGACAGGAACAATAAAACGAATATGGAACTTATCAGTTCAAGCTAAAATAATCTGCAATTTTTTTTTACCACATCATTATTTTTGTATAATTTTGTGGCTGTGTGATGGCTGACTATTTTGAGGACACTCTATGATGTATAACGTATAGAAATCGGGCAAACACACAAACGGGAGAACAGTCAAGTACTCGAACATATAGATATTCATGTTTATTGTCAGGAGTATATTCTGACTGAACTAAAGATAGATACATAGATTATTTTTCTTCTGTTTCTTTATGTACTTTTTTGCCATGTTTCTATGTGTACCTGTGTATTGTTTGCTTGTGTGTTAGATGGGGAAAAACCGGTGGTCCAAGTTGGAAATGATCCTTGTGGTCCTGTTTCTACTGATGACAGTGATAGCTGTCACTATGATCATTCTGTTTGTCACAGGAGAACCTGGTGTCAGTAACGATGGTAGGTGGATCACACAAACTCTAAAATACAAAATACATTCAGGATATTAGCGAGGGAAGGTATTTCCTGACGAATACAGCAAAAATCATGCTTGGGGTCCATCTAAATGCAAATAGGAGATTTCCTTTTTATGTGAAATTTAACAAACAATAATTTAGCTTTCTGTCCGTTAAACTAATTCTACGTTACAGTAAATGGACTGTATTTACATGGCACCTTTCTATCTTATCAATATACTTAAAGAGCTTTACAACACAATCTGTGCCCTCATTTACTCATTCATACAGCGCTCTACTAGATCCATACAAAGACTAATCACTGCTTTATCACATTCATACACTGATGGGGCACACAGTGAGGGGTTCAGTGTCTTGCCCAGAGACACTTCGGTATGTGACTGCTGGTGGAACCAAACCCTCAACTCTTGCATTGGAGGACAACAGCTTTAACCACTCAGCCACAGCCGACCCATAAAATTAACTCCTCTTATCACTCGGAGAACATCTACACAATATAAAGCTGTGGGGATACTTTTTATTATCAGAGTTTGAAAATTTGGTCAAAGCTGAAATGATGACTTATGGTTCCTAAAAGTACAAAAAGGTAGTTAAGCAAAAATATTTGCCGTTGATAAATTTAATCTGTTGCATCACTTTTCACCAAAATAAATATTAAACTGTTTAATGGACTGCATATTAGGGGCCGAGACGGGGTAGAGGCAGGGCAGCAAACCATGGACCCAAAAGTCCCAGGTTCAATCCTCAGCCATTCCCACATGCTGTGGTGCCTCTGAGCAAGACATCCAATCCCCAATTACTCGCTGGGCGCGCACATAGCTGCTCACCGCCCCACCTGGGTGCATCCCAGGTGCAGTGGGTTAAAAGCAGAAAACCAATTTTGCCATTGTATGGGAATATACAATGATGACAACACATAGCACTTTACTTATTATATTTGGAAAAAGAGTTTCCACTCTGAAATGTTGACAGATTTTTTTGTTTACTTTTATCTATTTTATAGAAACTACTGATGTATTTGTTCCTCAGTGTCCCAACATTCCTCTGGCTGAGAGGGTAGACTGTTTCCCAGATGCTGGAGCTTCAAAGGTTTGAAACATTTTTAGTACAAAAAAAAAATAAATAAAATAAATTAAAAAAAAAAAAATATATATATCAAAATAACATCTTCTGAAAGTTTATTTTAAAATATTTGACCAATTGTTCTTCTCAATACTGCTATAAAATGATTAGTTTTACAGCATAAAATCTTAATGCCACGAGTGCTTTTGTTAATATTAGCAGTAATGAATAATATTGATGGATATTAATGGGAACATTTTTTACTCTAAACAGATTAAATGTGAGCAGCGTGGCTGCTGCTGGAGCCCTCTGGATGACAGAAATGTTCCCTGGTGTTTCTTCCCAACCAACCATGGTTACAGCGTGAAGTCGACCGAGTATCCAAGCCCTTATGGTAGATCTGCAGTTTTTCTTTCTCTATTTGATGCACTCACTAAGTATTAGGCTTTATAGTAAGTTTAGTCACTCAGTCTAGCCATATTTTTCTTTAGCTCAATTTGGCAAAGGGAAATTTTTCTGTAAAATAAATCATGGATGGGAACAGGAAACATGACTTACTTTGCAGCATGCAAGCTTTTCCCATAGTGGTGTATTACAAAGAACATCAACAAAACTCTTTCTGCCTTTGTTTCAGACAGCAGGTTGTATCCAATTAATGAAAATGAACAGAAATCCTTCAACTAAAAGTCAATCAATCTTTCTTGTACATAGAAACCTAAAACAAAACCTGTTTCAAATTTATCTTTGACCCCTTTTATACAGTATGTTCACTCACTAAACGTGGGCAGAAAACATCAATACGACAGAAGAAAAGCAGCAAATGAAAAAAATAATCAAAGAGAGAAGAAATTAGAACATGAACATAATTATCCAGATGTTAGTGGAAGGAAACAAAACTAAGGTATCTTGGAGAAGTTCACGTCTAAAGAACTGATTTTCATGTTGAAATCTGGCCTTTGGAGGTGATTTAAAGCTGCTGTAAATATCTTTAAATAATCTGGGTAAATATACTGTATCCATTATATACACTGGTCAGCCACAGACAGGTGAATATAATAAAAACAGCTCTTTCCCACACAGCAGTTTGAGTGGAATAATTCACTGTCTGCAATATAAAGAAAGATTCAGTTTAAATTATTTTTTGCTCTCTTCTTACAGCAAAAATATTACTTTCAGCACTACAGTGGTTTTGAAATATCTTGATAAACATTGCTTCTCCTCACAACAACGTCAAACAACACTGTTATCTTTTTTATCGATCCATTTGGCCTTGAACCAAACGTTATAACGCTGCACTAAAGATAAGCTGGTGAACCTAACCAGATGTTTTTGTATTTGCTCTAGCAGTGATTTATTCACAGTTTGGTACTACAGCTTTAACACTGTGTTTTTATGTGTTCTGTGACTTTGCAGTAATGAACGCCCACCTGAAGAGAATGGCCGCTCCTTCTTTATTTGGTGCAGATTTAGAGCAGCTGACTTTTCATGCAGAAATGCAGACAAACAATCGACTTCGATTCAAGGTGGACAGACGGACTCCAGTTTTATTTCTCTCATTTGAAAAGCTGTCAGAGGACAAACACAGAAACATGCATTGCAAGGGTCAAAACCATTTAGAAGAGAGAAGAGCACAGGTTAAATGTTTGTTTCTTTTGTTTCTTTCCCTCAGATCTTTGATTCTCAAAGGCAGAGGTTTGAGGTTCCTCATGAGCACATCCCTACTGTCAGCAGTAACCCGTCCAGCCCTATCACCAACTCACTGGAGATCACGCAAAAACACTTTGGCCTCATAGTGCGCAGGAAAGAGAACAAAAAAGTCCTGTGAGTCTTCACTGTGTGCGTTCTCTGTATGCTTATAGGATATAAACTGTTTATATATATATATATATATATATGTATATATATATATATATAT